TTTTATCATGTAGGCCATTTAGAAAATATACAGAGTCTACCAGCAACAGGCATTTAGATCTTTACTTGAAGTTCTGGTACTGAACTTTTTTTAAAAAAAATTTAAGCTAATGCATATTTATTAATCAGGTAACACAAGCAGCCAAGTAGGAACTAAAATTTCAGGTGGACTTCTGGTTTGGTATTTCTAAAATTTCATTCAGCATGTATGCCTTATTTTAATTATCATGCCTCTTACTATTCCATGAAGAATTAATGCACTGGATTAAATGTGTAATATATTTATCAATCACTGGAAGAATAACCTATTCCTAAAATACTCTGTTTGAACTGGTTTTGCATCTATCTATCCAATAAATTAGCCCTTTCTGCTAGTAGTGTCATTCTTCAAGAATTTCAGAGCAAAATTTGAGAGCCTACTCTTATGAGTTTTACTATTTGGATACTAGTGCATTCAGATCAATTATTTTTAATTGCAGTTGCTTCTCAGGAACACTCATCTTTAATTATGAGCTTGATCAGTCAGATTGACTGGTGCTGTGTAAACCTGGAACAAAGAGAGCACCAACAAAGAGAGTTACTCACTTATCTGCCTTTTCTCAGCTAATCCGTTGTGAAACCTATACAGAGAATGAAATAATTTACTTGTTTTCATTTTTATTCCTGTAAAACTGATTTCAGCGATACATGGGCGAGTGTACTGCTTTCATCTAGACAAGTAAGGTAAATGCATTAGTAAGCAGAGCTCCCAAAATTAGGATGCTGGAGGATTGATTTTTAGGCTCATTTTATATATAACATCATATACCTAAACTGTACACATACTACATTATGGTAACCACTGACTGTTTTAAAGTGCACACAATACCATGAGCATTCTGAGTGCAAGCACTGTGTTATTCGGCAGGTCTTCTCCATAAAATTAATAAAATTAATTAATTAATATTTTCCATTTTTTGAGATATTAAAGAAGCTCAGATTGTTCAATTACTATTGCTTTCTAACACAGAACAATGTGGAGATTAGCCCTTCTGTGCATAGAATATCCTAGGATATCCTAATTCCTCAATTACAGGACTATTACAAGATTTTAGATTTCCCTAATTGGATGCACACATTTGATTGGGCCATGTATTTCACATTTAATAAAGGGCCATAAATTTGTTTAACTTAAGTTAATTTAAATTAACATCCTATTTTAAATTTCTTTGGTGTAACATAAACTCATATCTTCATTAAGTTCGTTTATATTGTAAGACACATTTACTTTATAACTCCGATCTTGAATTACAAAAGTTAAAGTATGGAATGCTAAAGCTATATTTGGGCTTTTAAAATGTAAATATGATAAAAATTAATTACTACATTAGTGTTTTGCATATAATGCTATTATTTTTATTAGATTGCACCATAAAGTAATTAGTACGCAGGGTAGGTAATCAAAATTAAAAGCACGCATTAGAGATGAATGAATCTGATTTAGCAAAATACATTTTGACACAGCCGTTGTTTCTTGTCAGTTCAATGAGTTTTACTCAGAGACATCACTTCTGGCAATAATCTATATGCTTCAGATGATAATCTGCTCTACACACAACTTCTTTTTGTCTGAATTTATGCAAAGTTTGATAAGAGCTATACTTCTGATTTTTCCTAGTTTATGGTATTTAATAGTGTATTTTAAGACTGCATTTATGGAATGTAAGCCAAAGGTGGGGGCTGGGAGAAGGAATATCCACATAATGTAAGTGATGTTCAGGTTTGAGACCATTTAAAGAACCTGAAGGTGTACAAGTCCATGAGACCTGATGAGATCCATCCACGAGTCCTGAGGCAACTGGCAGATGGATCTGCTAGGCCACTTTCCATCATATTTGAGAGGTCATGGCAGTCTGATGAAGTACTCACTAACTGGAAAAGGGGAAACATCACCTCCATTTTCAAAAAGGGAAAAAAGGAAGACCCAGGAAACTACAGGCCAGTCAGTCTCACCTCTGTGCCTGGCAAGATAACAGAGTAGATCCTTCTGAAGGCTCTGCTATGGCACATGGAAAATGTGGAGGTGATTGGTAGTAGCCAACATCGCTTCACTAAGGGAAAATCCTGACAAATCTGGCATCTTTTTATGATGGATTAACAGAGTCAATTGACAAGGTAAGAGCAACTGTTGTCATCTACCTGGACTTGTGCAAGGCATTCGACACTGTTCCACACAACATCCTGGTCTCCAAGTTGGAAAGACAGGGATTTGATGGATGGACCACTCAGTGGATAAAGAACTGGCTGGAAGATCACACTCAAAGAGTTGTGGTCAATGTCTCAATATCCAAGTGGCGACCAGTGACAAGAGGTGTCCCTCAGGGATCAGTGCTCGTACCGGTACTATTTAACGTCTTTGTCAGCGACACAGACAGTGGCATCGAATGCACCCTCAGTAAGTTTGCCAATGACACAAAGTTGTGTGGTGCGGTCAACATGCTGGAGGGAAGGGATGCCATCCAGAGGGACCTTGGCAGGCTTGACAAGTGGGCCTAGGCCAACCTCATGAAGTTTAACAAGGCCAAGTGTAAGGTCTTGCACCTGCGTTGAGGCAATCCCAAGCACAGTTACGGGCTGGGCAATGAGTGGATTGAGAGCAGTCCTGGAGAGAAAGATTTGGGCATGTTGGTGGATGATAAGATCAACACGAGCCAGCAGTGTGCGCTTGCAGCCCAGAAAGCCAACCATATCCTGGGATGCATCAAGAGATGTGTGACCAGCAGGTCAAGGAAGGTGATTCTGCTCCTCTCCTCTGCCCTTGTCAGACCCCACCTGGAATACTGCATCCAGCTCTGGAGCCCCCAACACAAGAAAACATGGAGCTGTTGGAGTGAGTCCAGAGGAAGGATACCAAGATGGTCAGAGGGTTGGAACACCTCTCCTACGAGGATAGGCTGAAAGAGGCTTGTTGAGCCTGGAAAAGAGAAAGCTCCAGGGAGACCTTATAGTTGCCTTCCAATACCTGAAGGGGGCCTACAAGAAGGCTGGGAAGGGACTTTTTACAAGGGCTTGTAGTGATAGGATGAGGGATAATGAGTGGGATCTGGAGTGATGAGGCACTGAACAGGTTGCCTGGGGAGGTTGTGGATGCTCCATCCCTGGAAGTGCTTAAGGCCAGGCTGAATGGAGCCTTGAGCAACCTGATCTAGTTGGAGATGTCCCTGCCATGGCAGGGAGGTTGAAACTAGATGATCTTTGGTCCCTTCCACCCCAAAACATTCTATGATTCTATGAGCATCATGCATTTAATATGACATAAAAATAAGTTTCTTCTTCTCCAGTTAATACATGCTTGTAATGTCTTGAGTAATGTCTGATCTTAATTAAATGCTTATTTAAAAGGATATGGTCTCATTTTTAGCCTATTCGTCCAGCCCTAATAAAACACCAAAGTAAACCAGCACTCAGTCTGAGTGCCTGTGAATGCCCTGTATAAAGGAACTTGCCCAAAGAAACATCAAGAGTTTACAAGCAAGGAGAGGTGTTGAAAATGGTTTTAACTTTATAAACACCAATTCTTAGCTTATAGTAAGGAAGGATGAAGTGTGTCTTGGATTTGATGTCAGCATGTTAGGGCATCATGATTGGATAGCATTTATAGATGTATTCAAAGAGTAATGAAGTCACTGAATATATAGGGCAAAGATTTATACCCACACTCCAGAGCAGCTATTTCCTTCACTGGAACTCAAAAGTTCAGTATTTACTGACAGGCAGTTACCCTTAGAAAGTTCTGAAAAATGTGCTTTGAGCAGTGATTTGTTATTGAAGTTTAAAAGGTATTTCCACTTGTCAGTAGGTTATTGTCCGTAGCTCATTACCAATAGACTAAGGCAGAAAGTAAATATTGCAAGGAAGCAAAACAGGTGAATGAAAACTAAGTAGTTTAGATGTAAAAATTATTCTCTTTTCTTTCTGGCTCAAGCTATTATATATGGCTCAAGCGCACCTTTGTCTTTCAAACTATTACAACAGTGGAAGCTATGTAGGTTCAGATTTCTGTCTTAAAACGTCACTTTGTCCAAATTATTACATTTTGAAAAAGTCTTAATGAAACCTGAATAAGAATAGGAAGATGTTGTTGTTGTTTTTTTTCCAGTTGTCATGACCAGATAAAGTTTATTCAGAAAAAGTTTAGAATAAAATTCCAGAGATATCTTGGGAAGTTAATACATGACATATTCAGAGTAAGTAGAGCTATTTTCCTCATTATGTCCCATGTAAATATTCAGCTGAGAGAGGAAAACAGGAAGCAAAATACTTGCCCTTTATAAAGCCTGGGCCTTGATTAATACTTCTACTACAGTTTCTGTTGTTTTATTTAATCTTATGCACACATGCATGAGGTACAGATAGATACAGGAATCTGAATATTAAAACAGAATGCCTTTTAATATCATGATATGTCACAGTCAACTAATATGAGAAGATTACAATCAATTGCTTTCCCTTTATTCATACTAGTTTCAGAGAAAACCATTTTTTCAATTCAACTATTACCTCACTACTCCAGAAATTTTCATTCATTGCTCTGTGTGAAGAATTTGTACCTAACAGTTCAAATTGACACAAATCCTTAAATATAGCTTTGACAATACACTATTACAAATTCAAATAAAAGGAGAAAGACATCTGAGTGTAAAGGGCCTATTTTATCCTTCGTGTGCTGGGGAGAGCAAGATATTCCCAAGCACCCAAGAGAATTGGATGTCTAACTCATTTTTATGCTTTTGTTAATTCCATTAATAGACTACCTGACTTATTAAGATTTCACGAAAGATAAGACCAGCTTTTTTTTCTAGTTCTGTATGATGTAGAATGGCAGATTAATAGATATTAACACACCCCCTGTATTGTCTTCTTTTTATGGCATTTAGGTCATTGCTATTTGGTGTTTCCCTGCTTTTCAGAGTTTTCAGTGTTTGCAACTGTCTTAGAATTTATTTCTTTTTTTTCTTTTAGTTGGATATACAATGAATGATCTCATTTTTGAATGGCAAGAAAAGGGAGCAGTTCAAGTAGCGGAAGGTCTCACTCTGCCACAGTTTCTCTTGAAAGAAGAAAAGGATTTATGTTACTGCACCAAGCATTATAATACAGGTAGGAAAACACATTAGTGATTAAAATTGAAAGGATATTTAACACGTATTGTTATTTTGGAGAGTTTTGGTTTCTTTTTTAAAAATATTCCCATTGAACTCAGAAGAATATTAAAACGAGGTGTGTCATGCAGGATAATGAAATCTAAATAATGGACATAGAGAAACATAATTACCTGAAGGCTAATCAAACTGCTATTTCAAGAAACTTAAGAAAATATGCAGTTGAAATAATTCCAAAGTGATTCAGTCAGGACTTCTAATTTTATAGCAGGTGCCACAACCACATCTACACTTTGGGATCTGAAGCACTGCTAAAATCCCATGGTCCATGTGCAGGGCACTAAGCATGGCCTGGCTCAGACATTTAAAAAGGTCATGAGGTTGCCAAGCCAAATGTCCCTGCTCTGGTTCTTACAGCACAGAGGCGATGCAAACTAACTGAAAACTTCTGTAATGTACACTGGCCAGGTGTCTAAACTAGATATGATCTTTCTGAGTTGAAGCTTTTGTAGAACTGCAATATTTAGCTCATTGTCTCTGCAGTTATTTGAAGAAAAAAAAAAAGAGGGCTTTTAACATTACTAAGATAGTTACTTTATATTTAATTGTAAAAAGTTCTCTCAATAGGCAGAAAATCACAAACATAATAATCCTAAAAAATCATGTAGCAAAGGCTAAGAATGCACAGCTTCCATCTTTTCTGGGGGAAAAAAAAGTAGAACTCTCATTCTAATCCATATCTTTTTTAATTTCTGCTCTCTAATATGATTCTTAATGGATTACGCATATCTTGAAGTTTAAATTTAGAACTAGTTTATTCCGATTCTGCTGAAATGGCAGAAGGGATGAAATAGGTGACATTCATAAGCAAATTCCTGTTGCAATCAAAATTAAGAAAGTATGCTTTTCAGTACTGAGTTTTATCGCAGCTGCCATGGTACCCTAGGAGGGAGAAAGATTCTCTAGGAATTTCCATTAAGAGTGGGGAGATACTTATAGAGATGTTATTTAATGTTCCCTAAAATTAATTGGAAGTACCTAAAATGCACTTCTATAGTACAAATACTAATAATTATCTAATCCTTAAAAACCTTCCAGAATATGCTAGGGTAATTTTTTCACTCATTCCCTTGTTAATGATAATAATGAAGATAGTATTCCTTTTTTCTTTTTGCCATAATCCCTATGTCAAAGAAGAAAAACTTTATTTTCATTATTTTTCTCTCTCCTTTTATTGCCTTCAAGATATATAGGCAACCTCTTTTTCCTTTTCATGACTGTCCTGCTTTTGTGCCATTTTAATATGTGTGTGCCTGTAACTATACTTCTATAACCCGTACTTTGGTATTATCAGATGAGAATTTGTGGTAGAAAGTATTCTTCTCATTTTTCCAAAGTTCATGTAGAAAATATGATGCATCAAAAAACTCTAACCAAGGAATTAAAACATTACTGTCAAAATTTCTCAGTTAGAGAAGATATTTATTCGATATTGAACAAAAACCTGTTTTAAAATGTGAGAATTTCCAGTGATTTCCAAACATCTCACCCAAAGCTGTATTCTGCTCTTACTTTTTTTATCTGAGAACTTTCATTACAATCATTATAGTTTAAACCTTTTGATTTTGACTGAAACTTCATTTCTTTCAATATATTTTTTTTTTCTTCATAATATATGTTTCAAGTTGGTATTAATTTTCTTCTAAGCAGAAGCAGGGAAACAGGTTAGGCTTAGGCATAACACACTAGGTTGCATGAGGTCAACTTACGATAGTATCCTGTCTGTTTCACTGTGACCCCCAAACTGGTTTAAGAAGCAGGAACGATAGATTTTATTAACTATGTGTGAGGTCTCATGAATCTCAAAATACACCTACAAGACAAATATGCTTATCCCTGTAAACTGCAGTCATGTTTAGGTGGGAGAAGAGGTTTACTGTTCTAACTCTTGAGGACAGCATGGCCAGTCATCAGTCTGTTGTATTTCTCTATTGCTTTGGCCAAACTGCATTTCTGTGGCCACAGAGGTACTCTAAAATGTGCGTGTAACCCACAACCCTGAAAAGATTAATGAAGTTCATGCCTTTAACCAAAAAAAAAATTTAAAAATTATAAAAAAAATCATTGGGCCTTTTAAATCATCCAGAAAATGTCCAGATTTTTACTAAAACAGAAAACTCAGAAGCCTGGATGCAGGCAACCACCATACACTTCAAGATGGAGACTTCAAAAGACCTCAACAAAGACAAAGACATTTCCACAGCTGTGGGACCTGTCTATGATGGGCAGGGGGAAAAAATTGCAAGAGTGCCTGGCACGGGCTTAATGCAGAAGGGTGTGTCCTCACCCAAGGAAGCAGCAGAGTGGCCTGCTTCGAGTTGCATCAAAATTACAGGTACCAATATGGAAGTATTTTGGCAGGGCAAATCTGAAAGAAAAGACAGCCTTACTCTTACAGGACTACCTGTATTGTGACATTCTCCTCTTCAACATAGCTATTTTCTCCAGAGTATTTTTTTTTTCATTCAGGTCTTCAGTATGAAGTTAATTTAATCAAATTAGAGGAATTTAGTTTGGTTTCTAGAAGAGTGGGAGTGCTTTTCATTTCTTTGTTACAACCAGTATTATTAACTACCACTAACCACTAAGTTTATTTCTCTCCATTATGTCACTCAGATATGTGACCCCTAGTATGCTTTCCTAAGGTGCCTGTGATGATTAGGATACTCCACGAGGAAAAAAAAAAAAAAAAATCATTCTTCAAAACTAGAAATAAAGCCTATTTCTCTGGTGTATGACAGACTAGATTTAAAGGATTCTGGAAAGAATGCTAAGCAACTGCAGCTGGTATGCAATAAGTGACCACGGAAGAGTTTTCTTTTTAAATTTATAGATTCAGTCATAGAATCATTAAGGCTGGAAAAGACCTCTGAGATTAAGTCCAACCCAACACTACCATGACCACTAAAGCATGTCTCCAAGTGCCATGTCTACACATTTTTTAACATCTCCAGGGATGGTGATTCTACCACTTCCCTGGACAGCCTGTTCCAATATCTCAGTACTATTTCAGTAAAAATTTTTTCCTAATATCCAGGCTAAACCTACCCTAGCACAACTTGAGCCCGTTTCCTCTTGTTCTATCACTAGTTACTTGGAACAAGATCAACACCCATCACACTACAATCTCCTTTCAGGTAGCTGTAGAGGGCAATAAATTCTCACCTAAGCCTCCTCTTCTCCAGACTAAACAACCCCAGTTCCCTCAGCCACTCCTTACAAGACTTGCTCTCCAGACCTCTCACCAGCTTCATTGCCCTTCTCTGGACCTGCTCAAACACCTCAATGTCTTTCTTGTACAGCAACGCCCCAAACTGAACACAGGATTCAAGATGTGGCCTCACCAGTGCAAAGTACAGGGACACAATCATTTCCCTACTCCTGCTACACCCACTATTTTTGATACAGGCCAGGATGCTGTTGGCCTTCTTGGCCACCTGGGCACACTGCTGTTACAACACAGGATAGAAAGCTTTTCTGAGACATCTTGTAAAACAGAGAAAATACCCAAAGGTCTCCCTGTGCAAAAATTAACATGAGGCTTCAGGACAGCATGTGGAAACTCATGAGTGCATCTCTCATCCATGTTTCATGCCAAATTGATAATGGATTACCGTAACCACAGCTTGAAAAACAAACTGCTGCTAAATATAGGGGCATATCAGTTTTAGCAACAGTACAGCATAATGACTCATCAAGTTTTGCGTTCTGAAGTGACACAACATTTCTGATCATTTTCACATTTTTCTGTCTACTGACTTATCTGCAGTGACAAATTTGGCAATTGAAGTAGGATAATAACCAGAAAAATCACATGTGAAACATTCACATCACAAGGATGGTCTCTCTTTACTGAATCCTCATTCACTTCCTGTGTCACATGCATTGCTCCCCTGAGCTTTTATGCAACACTCTATTTTGGTTTCATTTACAGGTAATTTCAATCATCACTGTGAAGAAGCCAGTACAAGATAACATATATTTATACATAATAGCACTGCCTAATAGACACAAACAGAATTACTCTGAATCTTGGCTTTACTCCTACACCACAGATAATGCACTACACCTGCACTTGAATGATGATGCTCAGAGCTGTCTTATGTCTCTTAATGGAGTTTGGCTGAAAGACTTGGATGTAGCAGCCCTGGAAACAGTGGAGCTGCTACACCGTCCACTGGGAACTGCTAACTCTGTATCACTAATATGATAAATCTGCAATCTTGATGAATCGCCCACTTCCTTAACTCCATTTTCCACATCTGACCTCCTAACACATACATTCCATACACAATCTTTTCTAATGATCCTTTTGTTTCCCCTTTAAGGTCGAAAAAGTTCCTTCACAACCTGTAGATTGCACTCTTCTAGGTCCTACCTTCAACGGACTTGTACCTTATATTGGGCCATTTTGCTGCCGACACAATTGTGATTAAAGGAGACATAATTTTGATACTTTACTCTGTCAACAAGAACTCAGGACTTTTTCATAGACCTCTTCTCAGAACGGGAAATTTGTACTTTCTATCCAGTAGGTATTCTATGGGTGTGAAATCTCTGACACTGCTCACTCCTTCACTGAAAAAGGAATAAACACTTTGAAAAAGAGTCTATGTCAGGCTGAGGATGTGACCATCCCTAGACACAGGAAAGAGCACTGCCTGACTCCAAGAGGACATTTTTCTCTGCTGGAGAAGAGACCTCAATTTTCACTCTTGCTCTTATCAAAATTCAAACATTTTACCTTAAGATTCATTGAATAAAAATTTATCAGCTGCCTTGGAAATGAAGACATTACATCTAGATATTCTTGCTATTTATGTTGCTATCAGATTCTCTTTAGTTTCTACTTCTCCCCTCCCTGACCTTGTTAATGCAGTGCAGCATGTGACTGGGCTTTCACATCACAAGAGTGCACTGATGACTTGTGTCCAGCTT